GCTGTAAAATTAAATCACTTTCTATTGATTAGGCTGCTGTTTTGATTATTCACTTCTGCTTAATCCATCAATCACAATTTGTGTCATGAAAGTTTCCAGAAGAATGTTTGCAGTTCTGCAACTGGTTTAGTTTTATTTCTTGAGAAAACGTGTTCTTCCCAGATAATGTTCTGAACTAGGATCTACTGAAGGGATTTAACTGCCTAAGGCAGGGGTGTCAAACTCACAACATCACGTGACATGTCACAACTTTTTTGCCATTGCTGGCAATGGGGTGGGTATGGTTTCGCTATGATGCATCCAGCCCACAGGCCGGCAGTTTGACACCCCTGGCCTAAGGGATAAAATAAATATGATAGATCCTTCAGAAAATAAAAATGGTTAGCAAGCAGTTATTCCTGGCAGTAAAATGAAAGCAATGATGAGGACAATAAATTACAGTTGTAAACATTTGGTCTTCTTTCACTTAAAAATAAAAATGGATTCATTCTCTCAAATGATGAGAATCTGAGATGTAGTCTCCCAGTTTATGTTATTTTGTTCTTTTATCACAAATAACTTTATTTTGGTTTTGCTGACTTCTAGTATTTGGACCACCTGAGGTAAAAAGATTTGTGGCAATTGATTACACAGAGAGGAGGCAGAGAATAGAAGGGTCATTTTCCAATTTATTATGTTGTGATGGAATTAAATGCCTATTCTTCATCTATCACCAAATATGTGAATTGATGAAATAACCAATAGGACTTCCTTGACTGAACACAAGAGCTTTTTTTACTCGGGACTGTTAGAAGGTCTCATATTTGCTTTATTTCATAAAAGGTGTCTCATATCTTTTTGTCCAGATATAAGGACTATAAGGACCATAAGTTGGTTAAATACAATAGAATAAATGTGAGTTAGAATTGGGGTTGAGAATAATAATAGCTGAAGTTGATGTGACATAACTAAATTTAAATCATTAGACAAATATGCTAACATAAGCCAACCTTCAGTTGAACATATTCTAATGCTGACATAATTTTCAGAAAGATGCTTGCATACTACAATTAAAGTTTAAAGTTGAATTATTTAAAATTGTATTTCAGGGATAGCAAATGTGATTCTGTTGGCTGTATGTTTGTGAAATAGTGTGAACTATGGAGTTTATTACCTATTTTTAATGTACTCTGAACTCTTTTAATTAATGACGTATAGAAAAAAAAATAAGTGTCATAACTGGAGTAAAACAATAAAAGTTACAATATATACTGTAGCTATCCTTGGTAGACAAAAACCTTTATTTGAACTTCAAAGCTAATTGCATATTCCTACTGCTGGTCTTCTTTTAAAGTCCATTTTCATTATGGGACCCCTCTCTTTAGTTTGCACCTATATCCAATCTCTATAACATCTATTAACATTTAAAAAAAATCATGACATCAGTTGACAAGAGGAAAACAAATCATCCAAATACCAAGGTAGCAGTGCATGGAGGCACAATTCAGCATATATTCATCATCACGTTTGTTTGCTCAACAAAAATTCCATATGTAATAGGATAGATATGCTTAGGTTAATGTTTATCCTATATGCATCTTTTGAACTTGTTCCTTTTGACACCCCCCTCCCCCCAATGTACTTTCTTAATATTTATTCTAAGTAGTAATTTAAAATCCATCTCTATGCTTTGGGCCAGATGTTCACATTTGTCTTAAATTTAAAATGATTTTCATGTAAAGCCCAATTGTACTGGAATGGTATATAAATTTTATAAATAAATAGACCGTACAAATATATAAAAAGGGACCAATCAATTTTTTAAAAGATATGAATTAAAGAACTTCTTTTTGCCCAGTGTTGTTATAGCTCAGATTGTTTCGACTTGTGGTTCACCTGTATGAGAACATAAATTATATTATATGAAAGCTCATATCAATTGATAAAGTGATACATTTTTGGGAGAAATTGCTCCTCCTGTATTATACATGTTCTCCTGTGTGCCCCTAGACCAGTGTTTCTCAACCTTGACAATTTTAAGGCATGTGGACTTCAACTCCCAGAATTCCACAGCCAGCTGTGGAATTCTGGGAGTTGAAGTCCACATGCCTTAAAATTGTCAAGGTTGAGAAACACTGCCCTAGACCAAGAGATGGCTAACAGGTTCAAAAATGTCTGGAAAGCAGCTGGAAACTTGCCCAACTGACAAAAATAAATAAATAAATAATAAAATAGCAACAGAAGACAAAGCACAATTATCCGTAACCCAACAATTTACTTAAATTTATTACATCACAATAGGACAATCCAGTAAAATACACAAAATTCATACTAAATCCACATTGCCAATGTACAATTTTTATAGGGCTTCTTTCTTTATATTACTTTTAAAAAGTAGGGTACTGCATTCCCCATACGATAGCTGAAACGTACTACTGTCATTTTGACAGTATAGAGAAGTCTAATTAACACTTTTTAAACTAACTTCATAGATCTTTTGGCACTTAAAAAACACAGACAAAGAAATCAGATTCCATATAATCAATTGAAACACAACACAGCATAAACTATCTAATGGCAGCAAGCAAATAAAGTGTCTATTATTTCTTCTAAATCTTCTAATCCAAATATATATTGAGGGAAGGCAGCCAATATTACTCCACTGTGGATAATTCTTGTTCAGTTTGGAAGTTCTGTATACATTTTTGGAATTATTTCACAAAATGTTGATGGATTTTTATTGTTGTTATTATTATTTTTTTTGGTCTTGTCAAATATATTACTTTGCTAACAGAAGATAATGAATTGTACAGATTGTACCATTTAAAACTATCTTAATATTGTAATTTTTCATTTCCTTTTTAGGAGTATACATTCTTTAGTAGACTTTTGACTAGGATCTGCCTATTCCGGCTGAATTATACTCTGCAACAGAGGCAATAGCTTTTAGGGTAAGAGATGCCATGCATAAGAATAAACCATTAAGGAAAGGATGCCTTGTGCCAAAATCTTATTCAAAGAAAAGAATGTTGCTGCATTTCTTTTTGCAAACTTTTGGTCTCGGCAAACTATGGTGCATTTCTGTGTTATAAATTCCAGCTGCTTCTAGATCACGTATTGTGCTCAAAATAACAAAAAACCCAGTCTCCGTTGCAAACCTTTTCTCCCCTGCCAGCCCCTGAACTTTATTATTTCAATCTATTTTTGGCAAAGTAACCAGTGATTGTTTTATTTTACACTGATTGCAGGCTCCATGTATTACCGTTTATTCTGAAAGGCAACCATTGTATCAGTTATTTCCCTGCTGCCTAAAATTATCCTGAGAATCCATAAGGAAATCTGAACAGACTATTGTGGCTTTCAAAAGACTGCAGTAGAATAAGGATTCTTAGAATCTTAAGACTTCTGAAATGTGAATGCTTGAAGCATGATAAGAAAACAAACATTTGTCCTTAGTAGAAGGGCCACCAGGATTTTTCTGTTTCAAAGGTAAATGTACACAATCATTGTTCCAGGTGAGTATGGCTACAGTCTACTTAAATTTAAGATTTCTGCTAGGATTTCAAGATCTCAGTGGAATGTGAGGGGCTGTCTCTCCTTATTCTTCCTTTCTCCAGCCCTTCTGAAAATTGTCTTATCCTCCTCCATGGCTCCTTGGAAAGGTAGGCTCTCCTATCACTACTACAATACCAAGAAAAAGAAAAAAAGCTCCTAGAAAAGAAACTAAATGCAGTTCTGCAAAAGGCGAAAGGCATTTACGGTGCTGAAGTACAACTTTCTTAGATGTCTCCTTCTATTAACATTCTCCTTTTCCAAAGCTCTTTTGTAAAGACTTGATGATAAATGTTGAGAACTAAAAGAAACAGCTTTTGTATCATGGTTCTCTCATGTGGTAAGTGCAACATGCACTATATTGGTATTAATAATTCCCCATGTCACAACTAGCAGTCCAGCAGCAGGCGGAGACAGGGTTGATGGAAAGACTTCTACATGCTGGCAGTCAGAAGTTGTTTCAGACAATTGCCATATGTGGCTCAGTTTACATCCGGAGGGGGAAAAATTCCTTTACAATTTTCAAAATTGCAGCCACCTCAATATATGCAGGAGTCAGTTGCAAAGATCTGATATTCAGGTAATAATACCTGAATACCACACTCTTGAATTAAGTAAAATATATCTGTGTAAATACTTTTTAAATGGATTGTCACGATCGGGTAAGGCAGTGTTTCAGTACATTCTTTGCCATTCTGCTTTGCAACTAGGAGCCGAAAAACTAATTCCTCTGAAATGGCAAATGAAAAGCTCATCACCACAAGAAATTACCTTCTCATCCTTTCTTTGCTTGAGGATGCACACATAATGCTTTGTGTGTTCAGGTAAAGAGGGTCTAGTTCACAGGCTGAAGGAAAGGAAGTATGTGCCAAGTAACTGGATAATTCCCTCTGTTATTCATTATGAGTTCTATAAAATGTTCTTTCAGCTTGTTAGTCTAAACAAATTTATAAAGAATACGTTTCCCAACTTTACCATGTATGAGTGATTGTGCTAGATCCCCAATATAGGATAAATGGAATTGTGTGACAATCAATCATATACAGAAGACAAAATACATTACTATTACCATTGCATTAATGTGTGCATAAAAACATCTGTGCATAAGGCCCAAGCTACAACAGTGTTATCACAGTGTGTATTTGTGTGCTGTGTGTGTGTGTGTGTGTATGTGTGCGTGTGCTTGGCAATGGTATCAAGCAAATCACAACAGTGACAAATATAGCTTTCATTGTCATGAGAGAGGGCTACTAACTAAGCATTCCTGGGCACAAATGATCACAGAATGTATCGCTCCTACTATGTATATATCCAGACCATTTCAACACCTGTTTCTTTAAATCTGTGGCAAACAGTTTGAATTCCTTTCACATCTGGCCACTGTGCAAAGCTTATCAACTATACTCTTTTTTTTTAATCCCTGTGTTTAGGTTTGGAATATTTTTTCCATTTTTTTTACCAACTGTAAAAAAAATCCATAGTAAAAATAACTCATATATGATACATATACCCAGAATGGTCAGATTTTATATAATAAAAGATGAAAATAGTCACTTTTCATAATAAAAATAACTTTTTTTGCTTATTTTACAATATACTTAATATTCTCTTCTTCACTTAAAAGTAAATAGGTCCTGTGTTTGAAAGCAGATTTGATACAAAGGGCAAAGAGGCTGATCGTGAGCTTATAAACACTTTGCACAGCCACACTCCACATGTCTCTCTAGCTCTTCTGTAAAGGAGGAACCATCCACACACTGGAAACCGTATTTCCGCCTTTTGCTGCGAAGAACAACACAACACTGATTGTTCCCACAAGTGCCATGACATTCCACACGAGGTACCTTCACCATGGAGACACAAGAGACGGAACCTTGTTGCTTCCGAATGAATTCACGAATAATCTCTCCTTGACAGACATTTTCTGTGAAAACAAAAACATGGCTCAAGATCATCTTTTAAGATAATATTTTATCGTCTTTTTGATAAAAAAAAGTGAAGCTCAAGATCAAGAACATGGATTCATGCCACACGACTTAAAATATTTGCAGAAAAAAATGATATAAATGATATTTTTCCTGGATATTTTGGTGTTAAATTAATATTAGAGAGCTACAATGTAATATTGCTGAATAATGTATTCTAAGTTTGTAGAATTGCAGTATGATGCCTATTTTTTTGAGATGATCAAGAAACATTCCTCTCTCTCTCTCTCTCTCTCTCTCTCTCTCTCTCTCTCTCTCTCTCTCTCTCTCTCTCTCTCTCTCTCTCCCCCTCCCTCCCTATCTATCTATCTATCTATCTATCTATCTATCTATCTATCTATCTATCTATCTATCTATCTATCTAAGATGACACCGTTTAGTTAGTAAATATTCTAATAATCCAACACAGACTAGAGCCCTACATGGAATGCCTTTGTCTGAAATGGTATAGGATTTTCTGCCTGACCAGGGGGGGTTAAACTAGAAGATCTTCAAGGTCCCTTCTAACTCTGTTATTCTGTTGTTCTGGAGACAGAAATACCAGATGTTCAAACTGACTTTGGGCAGAGGAATACAAAACATTATTGCCAATACATATGGGATAATCAAACAACAGCAAAAAGAGATGTTCTTCATTGATTATAGAAAGGTCTTCGATGGTGTTGATCATGTTAAGGTCAGTAGCATCCTTAGAAACATGGTGATCTCAGAGCATTTTATTGTCCTCATGAAAAATCTATCCATAGATCAGGAAACCATAGAACCATAGAACCAAATAGAACATAGAGAAACAGATTGGGCTTAGGTTAGCAAAAGAATATATATTGGTATGTGCAAATAAGTTTGAAAGACAGTTGGAATAGCTGCAGGAGACAAAGATCAGACAAGTGGTAACTGAGCCCTAAGAAGAATGTGGGTGTGATAAACATCTCAGAACAGATACTCCCTAATTTCATGGACTGTAAAGACGAGGTGGGGAGAGATCTATTTTTACACCTGCAATATTCTATAATATAATCTTACAATAGAGTTAGAAGTAATATTTCTGTGTGCTTCTTGTCTGAATTATCTCACAAGTTTGACAGTGTGAGACAAGGCTGTATGTGCTTCCTTTATTTATTCAATCTATGAACAAAATATTAAGGGAAACTGGATTGGAAGAAAATGAGTGTGGTTTAAAACCTGGAGAAACATCAATAACCTGTGCTATGCTGATGACACTTCTGTGATAGCTGAATGATTTGCACACTCTAGTACTGAAAATCAAGGAGCACAGTGAAGAAGACCAAACTAATGGCAAGTTGTTTTAGAATTAACAGGGTTGATACTGAAATTGTGGATAGCTTGTGCCTTGTAGGATAAGCAATCAAGGAACCACAATCAAGGTATATGGTGCAGGTAAAATATATTTATATACTGGCATGTGTCTATATCTACAAAAAATCAGAATTAGAATTACGAAGTAATGGTTCTTCCTTTGACACTGTACCAAAATGAAAGTTGGACTATGAAGAAGGAGGAAAGGAAGAATGTTGATGCTTTTGAACGCCCGGTGTTGGAGAAAACTCCTGAGAATACAATGGATACTTAAAAACAAATAACCAGACAAATGGATTATCAAACAAATCAACCCAACATTCTCGCTCAAGGCATAAATTACCATGCTCATTATCATACTTCAGACACATGAAGTGAAGACCCAGCTCTTTGAAGAAATCTATAATATTGGGGAAAGTGAAAGGAAAGAGAAGAGGATAACCAGCAGCAATGTGGATGAAATCAATTACTATGGGGACAAATACACCATTGGAAGACTTAAAGGGGCATATTAGGGAGAAATCTTGGAAAAAAATCTGTCTCTGTAATCATTCAGAGTGAAACAAACTTGATGGCACACCAAACCAACCAAGTGGTTATTGGTAATGGCATTTGCTCATGGAACTATGGTTTTTTGTTTTTTTTACTCTGGATTATTTGTTTTGGTGTCTTTGTACTACAAAGTTACTTTTCCTTTATATGCATAATGGAGTATGATGACATGTTATCATCTGCTGTTACTGTGTATTGCCTGGTTCCTCTGTGAAAAGTTTTTGTTATGCCCATGCCGATATACATATCTATATTTTGGATAAATGTGATTGGTATGGGTTATAGCCTACTTTGATAAGTATATTCCAAATGTATTGTGCTCATATTTCACTGTGCTAGTAGCAACTACCATAATGTGATCAGAGAGTTTACTTTTACTATTATATTTCATGAGAACACATATTTAAATAATATCAGGATTTAGAGGAAATTAGTTAGTTACAAGCTGAATTATCTGTGTGTATTGACAACAGTCTGGTTGCTTAGAACAAAAGGACTAAGATTGTTTACTGATCTCTAAATACAAAGTTGCTGCTTATTGGAATGTGATGTGTGTGTCCAGCTTTATTTCTCAGGCAAAATAATATCCTTTAGTATAAACTGTATCAAGCTATAACACTGAGAAATTTCTGACTTAAATTTGTTAATAAACTGTGAGAAAGTAATTAGCTATAGGTCTATACTCTTGTTAAAAGTACATCCCATTAACATTAATGTGCACCTCCTTTATGTTAATAAAAGTTAACTAAAACACTAATTGAAATATTAACACAATTTAATATGAAAATTATTGTTAATAGAACATCGCACAACATTCTCTTTCAAAAATGCACCCTGGCAGAGATTATAGCTTAATGACATGACATTTTATTAGGACATTTATTTTCTGTACAAAAACATTCTCATTCAGTTTGTAGAATTTCCAGGACTGAGAAAATTTGTTTCTAAAGCAACTGAAGAAGCGCTGCTAGTCAGAGAAGACAATACATAGCTATACAGTCTAACTGGTACAAGGAGGCTGTGATTTCTGGATTTTTACCTTAGCTAATAAGATTTACTATGCAAATTGCTAATGTAATAAGGATGTAAGACAGAACTGGCGGTATGTCTCAACTACTGAAGAACCCAGCTGACAGGAATTAAAAAGAGGAAAGTCTTCATGTCATCTGTTGTAACTTCTGATATGGGTAATAAAGATTTATTTTTTGTGCCATACGCACCCCAATTCTGTCAGGTAAAAGGAAGGCAGGTCACACGTCTGTTTTCTTAGAGCATATGTAAATACATAGTACACAAGTGGAAAATTTCCTTGAAATGGAAAGACATCAGCAGAGCTTCTGCACTGCTTTGTAAATGGGTAAAAGGGACAGAGCAGATCACGTATCACACATTACAAATACACCAACCTCTATCGCAACGCTCTCCACTGAAGCTTGGATCACATTCGCAGTAGGGTTCCCCTTGTGCAGAAATCTTACACTGTCCGTGGTTACATTTTAGAAGTCTGCAGGAGTTGGAGGAATCATTCTTTCGATCGCAGTGCATACCTGTGTAACCTTCTATACACTTGCACGTATAAGCAGAGTTGGTGGCAATGCACTTCCCGTGGAGGCATCTTAGAGAAAAAAGATAAAAAAATATCTGTTGGATTTCAGATTGATCCCTCTCACATTCCTTTTATCTGTAAGGAAAGTTACACCGAATGAAACTTACTTGTTACCAAGGCAGGGATCGTTAAGTTCTTGGTCACACAGTGAACCTGTCCAGCCTGGATGGCACTCACAGACCACACTTGTCTTTTCAAGAGAACGGCAAATTCCGTGCTTACAGATGTTACAGGATTTGCAACCAGGAAGGACTCCTACTGACTGATGTGGTAGTTCTTTGAAGTCCTGGAGCTCATTATTAATCCGGACATCATGAATGCATCCGTGAAAGCCACTTGGTGTCCTCTCTGTACCTTGCCGCAATGAAGACAGCCCTGTAGATGTCGGAATTCCTGCAAAGAAAGTTGCAAAATGCTTTGTGCGTTGTTTGAGCAGCTCTGTGATATTTCACTTAAACTAACGACATAGTGGCAAAAGATTAGATAAACAGATTGCAGCAGTCTATCAATGAACAATATATCTTGAGTTGACATTTGTCTTTTATATGCCATCATTTACTACACTTTAGTTTTGCACATAGCACTTCAAAAATATATGCAGGGGGAAAAAGCAATCATTTGCACAGATTTTGAAATTTATACAAATATATACATTTAAAATAATAACAATATCAATGTATTATTTTGCTGTGGTATAGCATTGCGTTTCGGGCAAAAAGGTTGGAATCTTCTGCCATTATTTCACATTTCAACTAATTGTCTTTTATTGTGCACTGGTGGAGGTCTTAAGATTATTATTTAGCCTGACCCTCATCTGAAATTCTGCAGAAATCAGAACCCACCTCCAATGTAGAGTGGAGTGTCTTGACCAACCACGGGTTGCTTCTGCAGTTTGCCAAGGCTTTTGGGAGTGCCTTTATCTACGACCAAATTCAAGGTCTGGTTCAACACCACCAGTTCCACACTATGAAACTGTCCATCATTTACTGTCTCCACACTTTCAGAAAAAACAAACAAACAAGAGAAGGGTATTAGAAGCTATGGTAAACATCTTTTGCAATTATCTGATCTCAATATAATTGCCATAAGAAAAATAGAAATGTAAGAGAGTTCATATATGCAGTTAGAATAAAAAAATTAGGAAAAGGTAGCAAATAAGAGTAAAACTTCCTTTCCTGTGCCAAACTCAGTCCAATTTTAACACCAAAATATAAATTAACAAACTGTTGATTGCATGCCACTGTACCTCTAGTTATAAATGCTCATTGAAAACTTCTTTTTCACATTCTGCTTTAGAGCCATAAGGACTAGAAAACTATTTTTTACCTGACCTAGCCTTACATGATCTTCAATTCACTGCGCTTCTTGTATTTTGTGATACCACTCTCAGAAATCTCAGCCAGACTTGGAACTGGGGATAGAGATTAAGGGCTTTCTTGAGAAAGTTGAGTTTCTTTCTTCTTTCTTATTGTCCCCTCATTTTTGTTAACTTCTGCCTGAAGAGGAGTTCTGGAGAATGTGAAAATTTGCATCCATTTTATATTAATTTTTATTGGTCCTAAGAGGTAGCATCTAGCTAATAGTGTATGGATGTAAGAGCTGTGGTGGCACAGTGGTTAGAATGCAGTATTGCAGGCTAATTCTGTTCACTGCCAAGAATTCAATCCTGACTAGCTCAAGGTTAGTTCGGCCTTCCATCCTTCCGAGGTGGTAAAATGAGGGTCCAGATTGTTGGGGACAATATGCTAACTCTCTAAACCGGTTACAGAGTGCTGTAAAGCACCATGAAGCAGTATATAAGTCTATAAGTGCTATTGCAATTGCTATGGATGTTATACATTATTCCCCTATTACCAATTCAACTACCATTGCCTTAAGGCTTAGTTTAGAATGATGTTTGTCTCCCAATGCCCCTTTGGAATTGAAATATAATTTTTGAGTGGGAATAAGGATAGGGTTTGAGAATATTTTAGTGGGATTGTAGCAATGCATATAAAAATAAATTGAAGAACTTGCTACATTGCACAGAATTTGGCTGCTCTCTCCAGTGGGAAAGGCTGAAACAGTGGTGGGATTCAGCCAGTTCGCACCACTTCGGCAGAACTGGTAGCTAATTTTTTGTTGCCCAGGCCCAGGATGGACTTCTGGAAGCAGCATTCACACAGAGAACTAGTTGTTCACATATTTGAATCCCACCACTGGCTGAAACAATTCACCTTCCTTTAAGTAACGACATTCTGCTGTATGCTTTGATAAGCAGAAGGACAGTGGCTGCCAAATATCCTGGTTGTACGTACACACACAAAACCATTTCCAGAGCGTTTGAGACTCCTGTATGATCCGCTGCTTCTCTATAGGTGATTTTAACACCGCTATCTAAAGCTAAAATGGACATTGAACTTTCTTGAAGAAAAAAAAAAAGAGTGACCTTTGAAGCATGAGTAAAAATCAGGTTTGAAACCAAAACAATCTCCTGGAACTTCTCCCCTTATTTAAAGAAGTTCCAGCTATAAGCATTTGTCAGACGATAACGTTGGCATTTTGCAGTGCTGTTGGTTTTTTAAAAAAAAAAAATCAGGCAAAAGCAAATAGATATAAATCATTACTTCTCTAACTAATATGGCCTTTTTAAATCAATGTTTAAATGTTCTATTTTAGCAGAAGATTTGTATATTTTGACAAAATAAATAAACAAGCAGAACTAAATCACCCATAGAGCTAAAATCCTTGAGTTATGACCACAGTTGAACTCAGAATTTCTGTTGCTAAGCAAGACAGTTGTTCAATGAACTTTGCCCCATTTTACGACCTTTCTTGCCATAGTTGTTAAGTGAATCACTGGAATTGTTAAGCTAGTAACATAGTTGTTAAGTGAATCTAGCTTCTCCGTTGACTTTGCTTGTCAGAAGATCACAAAAGGTGATCACATGACCCCAGGACACTGTAATAGGGGAGATATGATAGCCGTATTCCAGTATTTGAGGGGCTGCCACAAAGAAGAGGAGGTCACATTGTTTACCAAAGCACCAGAGGGTAGGACAAGAAACAATGGTTGGAAACTGATCAAAGGGAGAAGCAATTAAGGAGAAACTTCCTGGCAGAAAGGGCAATTAACCAGTGGAACAGCTTGCCTCCAGAAATCGTGGACGCTCCATCACTGGAGATTTTTAAGAAGAGGCTAGACAGTCATTTGTCTGAGATGGTATAGTTCCTCCTGCTTGAGCAGGGGGCTGGACTAGAAGGCCTCCAAGATCCTTTCCAGTTCTATTCTATTCTATTCTATTCTATTCTATTCTATTCTATTCTATTCTATTCTATTCTATTCTATTCTATTCTATTCATCCTAAATATGAGTCAGTTACCAAATGCCTGAATTTTTATCACATGACCACGGGAATGCTGCAATGGTCATTAAGTGTGAAAAACGGTCATAAGTCACTTTTTTCAGTGCTATTGTAACTTTGAACAGTCATTATATGAACTGTTTTAAGTAGAGGACTACCAGTATTCTTAAAATCTTTGAGAAAGTCTAGGCCTTTGTTAACATCAAAATGAACAACTATTAGATTTCATTTTCAGAAAAAAATAGTTCCAATCAATCTTATTTCTTTAACTTTTAGCAATGTAAAGTCTGTTTTCCTTCCTTCCCACTTAACTCAATATCTTCCATTTTTAATTAGTATGAGACGTGGAAGACAGAACCAGGCTTTGACTGCTCAGTTTACTGAGTTTATTAAATTCTGAAGATGAAACAAAGAACTTTCTAAAAAGGCCCTAGCTCAACTTCCTGTCTCAGTGATAAAGGAAAGATCCCTTTATTGCATCAAGTGAGGAAAGGTGCTGACTTTAAGGAAAACCCTTTTCAATGATTTCTGTCCAGACAGAAACTGTCCAGAAAGGAGGAACTGTTTTGAAGGGCATTTACATTTGAAGGGCATCCCAAGAGCATGCTTCAGCTGAGGGTCAATATTTCAGGAAGTTAAACATTGATTCAGATTTGCATCAGAAGGTTAAACACATGTTTATATCTCTGTGATTTCAACACACATAACTGGAACATTGGCTGGCTTGTGCATCAGTGTTTTCAAGGTGTATTGCTTTAAGAGAAATCAGGAAATCTGCATTTTGTTCAATCAGCAAGTACTGTCCCTTCAAAAAGCAACTCTGGATTCAGGAATAGGATTTCCTTTCAAGGAGATAAATGCTTATGCATTTTGTTCTAGATGGTCTGGTTTGATGATGTTGCAGGGGTATCTACAACGATCAGAGACTGTTAGAGACAGTGGCTTGGCGAGAGATTAATGGAAGAAAACCACAGACACTGAACAGCGTACCAGTGTTGAGCCAGCAATGCACAAAGGCTGTGCATTTTGGTAGAGAAAACAGCTATATCCTACAACAAGAAGATTGTGTTAAAATTACAGCTGACTCAAGTGTCCTCACACTGATCCTTCAAAAACAATGCCACAGATGAAAACATTCATCTGTCAAGACTTAATTACAAAATATGACAATCAACCAGATAAGCACATTACTTGAAACATAGGACAATAATTTCTTAGCATTCCTACACCGGTGGCAATATTATTACAGATAAAAGTTTCAGTAGCAGTTACAGATTGTTATAACTTTACAAATGAGATAAATACATGAGCTTGGGAAGTACAGCTAAAGAAAGGTGCAGTCTGATGCTTCATTTCTAGATGGCAGTAGAGTATCACAAAAATTTAATTTTTAGACTGAAAAAGCAAAACTGTACTGCTTGCCTATTACCCAAATCAGAATGTAAACAAATAACAGAGGAATAGAAGTTAGATCAGGATAAACTACCACCTAAATTAAAGCTTTCTAAGAAGAGAAAAGAATGAGGCTGATCCCTACAATTGGCAAAGTAACATCTGAATAATTGTATATGATCTAGGATTGCCAAACATATCTAACGCTCCTTCAAAAGTTATTTTGGTAAGAAATAGCAATATGGGGATGTGCGTGTGAGAGAAAAAGAAAAATTAAAATGGGAATTGGATTGGTTCCAATTTTTGTGTTTGGATTCAAAAAGCCAACGCTTGTCTTAACAACTGTTTGCCAACCAATTAGAAACAGTTCTCTAGTTTTCACTTTGGGCTAAATTCCAATAAACCTATTAAAATGCTGTATACTAAGTAGAATCTGCCTTGTTTAGAATCATTCCTCTGGAATTCACAATATATACTTTTTCAAACTTATTGAAATATAAACACTTTTCAAGATAGCCAGCTGTATTTCATTTGACACTTCCAAGAAAATAAAATAGCCATATTCCATCTATATTCAAAGGGAGGAAAAAACACTCTTAAAAAACAAATGACAATTTATGGAAAATGGCTGTCAGCAAAACTTATCAAAGATAGGGCGAGAGAATACAATACAGTTCCTATACTAAGCCACTTTGATAACCTTCAACCAGTTCTCAGAAAGAAATCAAATTAAATGGTAAATGATAATTACGATTCATGACAATGGTATTGAGAGAACAGCACTGACTATTGAGGAGGATAATAGAACAATAATATTACTTATCACTGTATTATCATTATGGATTTATTCACTCATTTGCTTATTCAAAATTATTCTTACTTTTGTGGGTTTATTCTCCTAATAACTTCATAATAATATATTCTCATAATAATAACTTTATTAAAATGCATTCTAAAAGAGACATTGTAAAAAAAGATAGTACTTCTGATACAAGAGCAAAAAATGGAAATACTTTGTCATATAACTTTGGTCATTCACAACAAACCTTTATTATGACCTTTAGGTCTGAAAACATTACGTAGAAGTACATACAAATAAAATTACTAGTAGGATTAAAAAGTGGGTATAAAATGAAATAAAATTACAAACAATAAAATCAGCCTAATAGAAATAATACTGATGCAAATAATACAAGTGACAATCTCTAAGATTGGTGCTAATCTTCAGTCATATTTGGAGGACGAATAGAATAAATAAATG